AGGCTGGAGTCAGGTGTCGGTTACAGCCAGAGGAGGAGGAGAAGCCCACAGCTGGGGCTGGAACCATCTAGGTGTTGCCATGCCCAAGTAGGACGTGACACAGGGCAAGATGTGGTCCAAGGGATTGGACTGGGGTGGTTTTCCCGCCCCGAAAAGTCAGGGCAGCAGCTGGGACACGGGGCTCTCACCTGAGCCCTTTCCTGCATGGACCATCCCCGGAGGAGATCAGGAGGAGAGAGTCACCAAGGGGGGCTGGGGGAGGACTTAACCCCTCTGGTTGCTGGCTGGAGATAGCTGTTCATGGCCGGCCTCCAGTGATCGCTACTCACAGGAGAGGAAAGGGAGCTGACCCATCATCCCTACACTCCACGCTCCCAGAGGAGAAGGATGACTTTAGGGCTACTCGATGCTTTTACTCTATGCACAGAACTGCGGTTATTTGGGGCCAAGACACACCTTCAAACTTCTTAGGGACTGGTCTCCTGTGGCTGTCCCTTGTCTGGTGACAAGTCAGCACGTCCCTGGCACAAAGTGCTTGTGGCGCAGCAGGAGGAAACCACCCACGCAAACACACATGCACCATGTTGGAGGGGAGGAGGGAGCCTGCTGGGTGTCACCGCTTGGGCTCTGCGCTCCTCCCCGGGGCTACGCTTCTCACAACCTCCTCAGTTCCCTCCCTCTCCAGTCTGTGTCTCTCTGTCTGTCTGTGCACCCAGGGGGGGCCTCTCCAGCACCCAGTGGGACCTGAAGGCGCTGGGTGGTGGCTTGGTCTGCAGCCTGCCTTTGGAGAGGCGACAGGAAAAAGAGAGATCCCATCACAAATACCCCACACTGACCTGCCTGCACGCCTCTGCAGCTGATTGCCCTGCCGGGGGGGCTCAAGCACCCCTGGGTGCCCCTCAGGAAGGGAGGAGAGTGCACCCGACAGAGGTCCAGCAGCGGTTTTCAGCTGAGCAAGCCCCGTGTCAGTGTTGTCCTGCCCACAGCAAGGCAGCGAGACGGCGCGCAGGAGGCTGGGGGGGCCGACATGGCCAGTGTCATACTGGAGAGCATCTTCTTGAAGCGCTCGCAGCAGAAGAAGAAAACTTCTCCCCTCAACTTCAAGAAGCGCCTGTTCCTGTTGACGGAGAGCAAGCTGTCCTACTACGAGTATCTGGTGGTGAGTCGGCATGGCCCTGTCCCTGCCACCAGCCAGCCCAAGGATGTGGCTGGATGGGGATGGTGGTTGGCTTGAGTCTCCCCGGGTCTCCCCCTCCACAATCATTCAAACCAACCCCGCGTCTCTTGCAGCGCCGAGGCAGTAAGAAGGGCTCAGTGGACGTTGAGAAGATCACGTGCGTGGAAACTGTGGTGCCTGAAAACAACCCTCCTCCTGAGCGGCAGGGGCCCGGAGGGAGGGGCTAACGATCCCCACGTGTGGCCCC